TTAGACAACAACAGTATATAAAGAAGATTTACCATCAAGGGTGTTCCCTTCAATGGTTCCATATCACCCAGATCCCCAGATCGATCCAGTGTTCTGTTGTGGTCCCCTCTTTCATTCAGTGTGGAATAGTTGTTATCTAGTGAAAAAAGTACACAGAAGCATGTTATGCTCCTCTGGTATACAATATATATCAAGCAGATACATATGAATTAGGCACCTCTGTTAGGAAATGAACTTTGCCAAATGCTCCAGAAAGGCATTAAAGTCTGATGGCCTCAGACTTAGAAAGAACTTGAATATAATAGAGAAGATAATATATATATGAAATACCCATGGCTGGGAATGCAGCTCAGTACTAGAGTGCTTGCTCAGCATGCATGAGGTCCTGGGTTCAATTCCAATCATTGCAAAAACAAAAACAAACACCCAGAGTGTGATATATGGTAATAAGGCTAAACTAAAAAGATCTGTCTATAAATGGCACTGAAATTAAAAGAGTCAAGAATGCTGCAATAGAAAGTAACTAACAAAGGAAAATAGTTAAGCCTTTGGGATAAGGAGAGTTTAGAAAAGTAAATCCCAGTAGAATGTATGATATAAGCAATTTTTTCTTAAAATAGAGAATGAAAAAATAGAATAGCAAGTGGACCAGCTAGGCTGAAAGAGACCAGCTAGGCTGGAGAGAAGATAGAGAGGGAGACTGGTACAGACTATGATGGTCTAAGTTTAGGGACATGAGCTTTCTTCTACAGTGATGAGGGAGGCATATGACTAGTTTCTGAAAATGAGTAGATGAAAACTTGGAAAAAGAAAATGGATCAAATTTACTAAATTTTACCATATCCTTCCAAATGGAAATGATCAGTCAATGTTCTTCCAGGATGGCAAATGGTGAGGTTGTTAAGAAAAGCTACAGTGCTGCACAGCTCTACTCGCTCCAATGCAAGATTATTCCATATCGTTACGTAGAAATTAATTACCTACCTAATGATTTTGTGTTTGATCCCATATTGCTCATTTGAATTTCTTCCCGGTCAGGTTTCTTATCTGTTTGGAATCAGAAAGTTGCCCAAGTCACAAACCAACTCTTCAAAATCTATACACAACATTAATTGCTCCCTCTGATCTGTTGTCCTTCCCTTCCTTCATTCAAATTTTTAATTAGCACCCACTATGTGCCAAGCACTAATCATAACTCTACAGTTGTAACAAAGCCTTCATGGGACTTAGATACATTTCTTATAGACTCTAAAAATAAGAAACACTTCATTGTAAGCCAGGAGTTTTTAAAATTATTTGGTCTCAAGACTCCTTTATAGCTTAAAAATGGATGAAGCCCTTGGTTAGACATCAATACCAAAAATAAATGAATAAATAATGCTCGAAGGGCAAAGGGAGAAAGAAGAAGAGAAAAAAAATTATGAGGATCCAGGGCTGGAGGCATGGCTCAAGTGCTAGAACACTTGTCTACCAAGCAAGTATAAGGCCCTGAGTTCATGCCCCAGTACTGCAAAAAAAAAAAAAAAAAAAATTATATACACACACACATATATATCAAAGAGCTTTCATTGGAATGGATTATATATATTAGTACTTACTGTACTTAGAAATATAAAATGTCCATTTTACTTTATTACATAAATTAGTATCATAAATAGTATTTTTAATAAAAAGCATCATTTTATATTTTTTGCACCTCTTTAGACTTTTAAGAGAACTGGAGTCTCGTATCTGTTTATGAATTCAATCTATTGTGATATGCTATTTTGAAGAGAATCCAGCCTCACACAATAAGCTGCAAAAGGGAGGAAAATATTAACTCCTTTCAAATAACCATGGATATTCTCTGCATTCATTTTTGAGGAAATGTCTGCCAAATACCCATGTCCAAATAGTTTGTCAGCCAGTCATTTTTTTTCAAGTAAAATAGTGCTCCATAAAAAGGTAGCTAGTCTGCCAGGTACCAGTGGCTCAGACCTATAATCCTAGCTACTCAGGAGGCACAGATCAGGAAGAATGCCATTCAAAGCCAGCCCAGGCAAACAGTTTGCAAGACCCTATCTCAAAAATACCCAGCACAAAATCAGGGCAGGCAGAGTGGCTTAAGTGGTAGAGCCCCTGCCTAGCAAGGATGAGGCCTTGAGTTCAAACCCCAGTACCACCAAAATAGATAAATAAAAAGGTAGCTAGTTTAATAAGTCCAAGAATCACACAACTGCTTTGCCTTCTGACAGCCACCATGCTTTGATATGCAGCCCAAGTGCTTTGTGAGTATAGAATATACACAGAATATATGAAAGATGCATACTCAAGGGTAGAAATATAATTACTAATTTTTACAGCTCTACCAAGTACATTTTTAAGTGAAGACTGCTTTTTTTTTTAAATTCAGAGTACACTTTAATAAAGACAACTCATTCAGATTAGTGTCATTCAGGTTTGTGCTAAGAAACCAGCAGCAAGAACCACTACTTTTTATGCTATCAGTGCACATATTAACAGCCTTGGGACCCTCAGTTCACACTTCATGAACCACTCTGAATCAAAAGCCAAGCATCATTAAAATAATAAAGGTCACAAAATACATTTTAAGTGAAAGAGAAAAAATTTACAAAATATGATTCATTTCTTGGGAAAAAATTTGTTTGCTCACATGGCAAAAGGGTTTAAAAAGCTATAAGCCAAAATTGTAGTGGTTATCTCTGAATACTAGAAATAATTGACTTTGTTATTTTTCTGGTTGTCTGTATTTTCTAACTTTTTGACACTAATCATATTTCTTGGCATTATATAGAAGTTTAAGAAGGAAATAAAAAAAGACAGAGAAACTAGGGTTCAGTTCTCCATGATTTTCAGGCTATTTATTGCCTGTTTTGATTTCTAATGTTCAGACCTATCCTCTTATGTATTATATTTCTGGAGCAAGCCTGTAATCCTAGTACTGGGGAGGACAAAGCAGGATGGTCAAGAGTTAGAAGCCAGTTTAGGCTAGATAGCAAGACTCTGTCTCAAAAAACTAAAAGGATTTATAATTCTGGAGCAAAGCATTATTCTCCTCTCCCAGAGATTAGCTCATTCAGAAACAAATATATACCCTTTTTCTTAGTTTAAAAATCCATTAAAGATAATAGAAGTAGCCTGGCACTGGTAGCTCACTCCTGAGGACAGCCTAGGGGAAAAAAAAAAAAAAAAAAAAAGAGAGAGAACCTAGCTCAAAAATGCCCAACACAAAAAAATGTTGATTCAAAAAAAAGGAGTTCAAGTGGTAGGGCACCTGCCTAGCAAGTGAGACCCTGAGTTCAAACCCTGGTACTGAAAAGAAAAAAAAAAAGAGAGAATAGCAGGAACAGCTAGCTTAAAAAAAAGAGAGCACCCTTGGGTACTGTACCTGATTTTTGGTTCCGGTCAATAAGAGGGAGAGTGCTATCATCATACGAATGACTGCTCTGGCTTCTAGAAGCATTATTTAGATTCACCTGAAGGCAAACATAAAATGCAATGTCACAGAATTCTAAATTCACCCACATATTTTTTTCTGTTCTCTATCTCCAAAATGGCCCTTTTCCCCACAACTCTGCACCTCAAGTGTGGGTTTCCATCTCCAGCTTTCTTCTCTACATGCACAAAGCTCCTCCCTTCCAGCCCCTCATCTGTATCTTACTCCCTGGCTTTGGGCATCTAAACTCTTAGGAAAAATACAACTTTTAAGGGTGGAATAAATACCCTATATAATGAAACAACAGGCTTTTCTATTTGTGTTCCAGAGCAGATTGTAAAAGTTCTAAACACTCAGAAGAAAACACAGACTGAAAGAATAGTAATCTCCTTGAAATGGTCAGGGTGGATGTAGGGAAGAAGACACAAAGGCCATCATCCTTCATCATCACCAGCACTCACTGCATATTATGACACAAAGGGAGACTAGAGCTATTTTAGCAGCAAATGAACTGTAGGCACCATTCTTGAGCAGTAAAGCAAATAATGTCCTCACTAACTGACAATCTTGGGTCAAAATAGATTTAGTGTGATGAAGAAGTAGAAGAAACCATTAACCAGGGTCCAAGGAAAAAAGGTAAAAAAGTCTTGGTCTTAAGAGTAACTGTACCTGAAAGTCTGATTTCTTCCATCCTTCTTTTTCCAGTGGCTTCCGCAGTTCCTTATATCCCCAGATTGTCTGTAATACAAGTGCTGCTGCTCGAACTTCTTTTTCTGAGCGATTCCTTTTGAGGAAATAAAGTAACATATGAAATTTGGATGGAAGAGCAGGAAAAAAGCTTAGAACCTGTACCCTCTAACAATAACATAAGAATATAAATATCAAAATGGGTAAAATAAAGTTTTCATCAAATCCTATATTCTGTCCCAAACACTGACATAAAATGTTTGACCTAAGATTCTACTGTTGATTCTAATGTTGATTCGACTGTTTTGTCGATCAACATTAAGACAAAAAATAAAGCAGTAACTCTTGTCATTTCACATGTAAATAAGGGAAAATATTCTCAGAAAGCAAAAGAAAGTTCCTTCAATCTAGCAGCCCCCGCCCCCATACTCCAGTTCCTCCAGCTGTGATTTTAAATGTAAGCTCACCCTGACTTGTTGATCAACACCAGCTTCTCAATGCCCTGTGTCTCTCGAAGCTTTTTGGCAGCCTCCAAGTTCTCAGCAATAACCTCATTGATGGTGTTCAAAATAGAGACCACTGTGTCCTCAGAGAAATTCCAGGAGGAGTTCTGCTGCCCTCCTGGCAGATTCTTTACCAAGTTAGGAATGGCATGTTTACCTATGTAAGATGAGACACATGCAGGGAGGAAAGGCAGAGTCAGGTCATAATACTTTAGCTTGATCAGATCAAGTATAGGTACTATCCACATGAATTGAATTCATTATGCTATAGGATTATCATATGAAAGGAGCAAAGGACATGAAATAGCCGTGAACTCACTGTCCTTCATTTTTCCCCTTCTCCTTCAGTCACATTCAAATGGTGTGAACATCAAATATGCTACCTAATCCTTTCAGACACTCTAATGAAAACAGTGAGTTCAATACTGCAATAATTCAATAGAACTGAGTCATTAAGAATTTTAAAAAAAAAAGCAACCTGGGCTCTGTCACTAACTAGCTGTAATAACTCTGGGAAAAATTATTTTTTGAGACCCTCAGTTTCCTTATCCTATTTAAAAAAAAAAAAAAAAGCCTGGCACTTTCTCCAACCCAGTAGAACAATAAAAAAAACTCAGCAAGTCACTGGTGGCTCCCATCTGTAATCCTAGCTACTCAGGGAGCAGAGATCAAGAGGATCAAGGTTTGAGGCCAGCCTGGAAAATGGTTCTCAAGATTCTATCTCGGAAAACACTTATCACAAAAAAGGGCTGGTGGAGTGCCTCAAGGTGTAGGCCCTGAGTTCAAACCCCAGTACTGCAAAAATAAAATAAAGTATGAAGAATTAGAACCTTTCCCTCCAACAATTTAAGTAAATAAATTACGAAGCACCTGCTGGATTACAGGCACTGTGCTCGATACAGACATACCAATTTTATTCAACTCCTTACCAATTAACTCTTTGTTTCGAGCATCCACAGCCAAATTTCTCAGCGCTCCAGATGCAGCTTTCACTACCCGTTCATGTTCGTTAGTCAGGAGATCAGCTATGGCAGAGAGAGCCTTCTCTTGACGAAGAGCAGAGCGAATGTATCGTCCATACTAGGTAGCACATGGAAGTGGTGGAGCACATTACAAATTGCAGCAAACTAAATTCTCTCACCTCTAATAAATCTATTTTCTAAAAGGTACTCACTGTCCAGCGCCCAGCACACAAGTTCTGGATAGCTCCAGCAGAGGCTTCTAGGATGGCAGGAGTCTTGCTCTCTTTGAGGAGTGAGATGTATATCCGAACCACCTCTGGCTGAAATAAGAGCTCATAGCCTGTACAAGAAAGAGCAAGAAGAAAGAAGATCCCAATCAATATCTACAAACCAGGCTCTGCTGTTTGGAGTTCAGCCTTATCGCTCTAGGTTGAAAAGTTTTGCTCCTAACCATTAGATTCCCTGAATGCCCCCATCTACTCAAAAGCAAACTCAGAGGCTTGATTCTATACATGTTTTTATTTTTATTTATCTATCTATCTTTTGGTCTTTTGGGTTTTTGGCAGCACTAGGGTTTGAACTCAGGGACTCAACTTGCTAGGCAAGCACTCTACCCCTTGACCCATACCCAACCTTACTGATTGTGGGGGGCAGGAAGCCTCAGACCATAATTCTCCTATCTCTGCCTCCCAAATAGCTGGGATTATAGTTGTGTACCACCACACCTAATTTGTTTGGGTTTTGTTTTATTTTGGTGGAACTGAGATTTGAACTCAGGGCTTTGTGCTTACAAAACAGGTGCTCTACTGCTTAAGCCATACCTACAGTCCATTTTGTGCTGGTTATTTTTTGGAGATATGGTCTTCCAAACTATTTGCCCAGGCTGGCCTTGAACCTCAGTCCTCCCTATCTCAGCCTCCCAAATTGCTAGGATTATAAACGGGAGCCACAGGTACCCAGCTCCAGTTTGTTTTTTAAGATAGGGTCTAACTTTTTTGCCTGGGCTGGCATTGAACTACAAACCTATCTCTGCCTCTCAAGTTTTGGGGAGGTTTTTTTTTTTTTTTTCCTTAACTTTGTTTTGGTGGTACTGGGGTTTGATATTGGGACCTTATGCTTGCTAGGCAAGCACTCCTACCATTTGAGCTATGCCCCAACCCAAGTTTTTTCTTTTGTTTTTTTAGGAAGAGTCTCACTATGTAACCCAGCTGGCCTCAAAGTCACAATCTTCCTTCATTGGCCTCCCAAGTGCTGGCATTATAAATGTGCACCATCACACCTGGCTGATTCCATGTCTTCTTAAGAATTAATCCATGGTAGGTAGGACTGGGGTCACAACTTATCGACTTATCATATTCAACTCCTCTCTCTCTTCCTCTTGACTCTTTTTCCCCACAGCTTACTTTGGCCTTGGTTCTACCATGAGTACTCATAAGATTCATTTAGCTCACTGATAACATTCAGAGTTAAAGATTCTTCATCTCCTATCAACTACTAACTAGGCCTGACCTGGCTAGCTTAGCTTCTGAGATCAGACAAGATCAGGCATATTCAGAGTGGTATGGTGGTAAACTAGATCTCTCATCTTGAATAAATTATTTCTATTTTAATTCAATCATTGTCTCTACTGTTACTGCGACAAAAATAAAAGGAACCATCATAAATTTAACAACATTCAAAATTTTTATATCCATGGAAAGCTGTAAGCTGCATACTCATCAATACAGTGATCCCAAAGATTCAAACTATAATAAAGAGACTTCTTTAATATTAAGGTTTAAGTCCCCAAAACTTCAGGGGCAAGGTAGGGTAGGTAAGTTTCATGCCCTGTGCTACCATCAGGACCTTATCCTATCCTCAAGTAACCAGAAACACTGCCTCAACAAGCAGTCCTTTGCAAGTTGGTGGAATAATACTACAAAGTTTACTAATACTTTCACCATCATCAGAGAAAACAGTAAACATATTGTATGAAGTCTGGTCTGCTGTTACCATGTCCAGATACCATATCTGTGGACAATGTTTAAGAGATCTTTAGAGACTGAGGGGGAAAAAAATAACTTACCTCGAGCAGGACTAGTTCTTTTAGGGAAATCCACTGTATCATTTGCTGGATCCTCTGTAGGCTTTTTCCCTATAGAAATGGAGAGGGGAAAAAAGGGTAGAAAGAATAGGGATAAAGAATTTATGAAAAGATTCCACATGACATTTTTCATCCTTCAGTCAGAATCAGAAATGCATAAGTAAGGCAAAAGAAGGGGAGGCACTCTCACACCTGTCCCAACAAGGGCTATGCAGAAACAAGAACAGTAAACAGGTAGCAGATAGGTACAATAAGATAACTACTCTTGTTAATATTGACTTGAGTTCTGATTACAGGACCTGCTTGCTGCCCAGAAATAGCATGCCATAAGCCATGAGGTTCAGAAGAGCTAAATTTGTTTCAATGTTTTTCCTCAACTGAATTTTCCTACATGCACCCACAGGGAAGGGTTAGGCAAGGAAATACTAGGAAAGCTAAAACCAAATCATGCAAATTAGAAGTAGACAAGCGCCTTAAAAGATTCTACTTACCTCTGGAGAACCACTCATCTTCCAGCGCGTCACCAAGATGGAAAGCAGACAACAGAAATGAAGGAAGAAAAACGCAGAAGATGTCAACAGGATCATGGTCAAGTAAGCAGGAAAGCCCAGAGAAGAAAACGAAAAACACAGGAAACACAGGAAACACAGGGAGGAATGGGGAAGAAGGCCCCGGATTAGTTGTGTTCTTATCCTTCAATGCCCCAATCACTGATACTGATACACCACCACCACCACCACCACCACCACCATTCTGATTGGAGCACACAACACAGGGGAAGCAGCAGCAGAGCAAGAAGACAGCCTTAATCAGGCAGACTCCCATACTGTTTGCAAATACTTAAAGCTAATTGTTCCATCCTTTCTCAGTCCCACATTAAAGAACAAGGAACTTAGCCTTACCTTTACCCTTCTTGGCCCCAAAGCAACTGGCAGCATGTGGCCCAGTATTGTTAGCAACACTGGGAGGTGCTTCTTGGTAACGCTCTGCCTGTGGGATCTCGCGGTGGACCTGATATGATAAGTTCCGAAGGAGGCAAACACAGTTCTCCACAAGCTTAGGGACACAAGACAAAAGGTTCAATGAGACAAGAGGATGTCTATGGTGATATCCCAGCAAGTACAAGTTTCCATGATTCAAGTACCAAAATATCAGTCCTCAAAACCATAGTCCAATCCATCATCTTGCAGGATGCCTCTTCAGTACCCCAGGCTTCTCAAAATCCTTGTATCTTCAGGCCAACGGAAAGTCTAATTATGTATTTAATGGCTTTTGCCACAATTTGGTATGTAACCCAAAACTTAGATCACTGAATTTCCTACCTAAAAAATGTACAATTTTGGAAGACTGCTAAGTAACTTTAATATACATGTGAAGGAAATTCTAAGGAAACTGTTTTCTTCTAAGTTGAATGCTCAGAAGAAAATGGTTAAAATGTTATTTAGGAGTCTGAGGTGGTAGGTTTGCATTACAGGTACCTTGTAGATACAGTGAATGGAATTCACTCAGCCATTAACTTACCTTGCTGTCTGAATCCTTCTGCCCAATCTCAGCCTGCACAATGAAAATGAGGGCATCAACTAAACCATCACATTCCCGAAGTTTCCGGCGAGCTTCACTCCTCTCTGAGCTCACATTCCTGAAGGAAAACCAGGAAATGCTTGAGATATCCCTCAACATCTACAAGCTTTCTCAGTATCTTTTCTATACACTATTTATATCAATAGTGAATGCCTATTACAAGCAAATCATTGCAGTTGAGAGAAAGGTGACTGACAATCCTTGTCTTCTGAACTTTTATAACCCTGTGGAGGAGTTGAGGTTAATGATGTAACACACCAGGGATGGGGAAGTAGCTCAGTGGTAGAGCACTTCCCTAGCATATACAAAACCATGGATTCGATCCCAAGCACCCCAAAAAGAAAAAAGAAAAGAAATGTACACCAACAGTAATTCAAGATAGAACAGATCTTCTTAGATGAAAGTACAAATGTAGCAGAGGGCAGGTACACAGATATACACAAGTCCAGAGCATCTTATATGTGGTAGTTTCTGAACAAGTGTTTGCTAAAATAGATGAACAAAATCAAAGAAGCATAAAAGTGAGGAAGATGAGAGAAGGGGGATGGGAAGCAAACCAACACAGCACATATACACATGGGAGTAGCAGCAATGATAGACATGTTGGACTTACAGTGTCAATACAGATAAGAGTAGAGGATGAATAACAGGCTAAAGAATTTTAACTTTATGGCTAAATGTGCAGCTCAGTGGTAGAGTGCTCACCTAGCACATGCAAGACCAAGTTTTGCATGTGCTAGTAACCAAAAAAAAAAGTACCACACAAAAAAAAAAATTAAATTTTTAAAAAGAAATTCTATTATTCCTCAAAAATTCAATCTTTATATTCTTAAAGGCCTGCATTTACCTAAGGCAGCCAGCTGTGTTGGTGAGCACTGACTCCCACTCAATATGGCGTGGCTTACAATCTTCATTAGGTTCCCTCTCCCAACCAGAATGTGGAATGATCACTTCATCAGTCAAGGCGTGCAGTGCATGGTCTACAATCTCCATTTTGATTGAGTCATGGGATGAGAGATTCCACAAGGTTCCTGGCAGAGAAAATTCATCAGACAGCTCTCCAGGATCCAAGACAGTATGTCTGAAGAATGTCAAACAGAATCCCCTACTCCATCACTTCTCAGGCTTCCCAAATGACCAAACACCATGTAGTGTTATTCAAGGTTTTGTTTATGACCCACAGTAAGAAATATATTTTAATTCTGTAGCTGAATACAAACACGCAAATCATGACATAAAGCTTTACAAAACAATACATTCTGTAACAATGTTCACTGACCTATCTATACCAGTTTCCCCACCTCAACATCATGGTCACTTTGGGCCACATAATTCTTTGGTGTGGGAAGCTGTCCTGCCCATTGTTAGATGTTTATCAGTATCCCTGGCCTTTACTACTGGATGCCAATAGCTCTCTCTACCCCCAAGTTATGACAATCAAAAATTGTCTCCAACATTACAGATGCCCTCGGAGGGACAAAAGCTCCCCCAATTAAGAACCAATGGGCTGGTCTGTAATCTTAATGGGCAGTACAGAGTTATGTGCGTTCACTGTAAGGGCAGACCAACAAGAATGTTTTTCTACTTTGAACCACTTCTCTTTAATAGGGGTGATTCTTTTAATTGCCAGGGAAAAATTGTGGCAGCTGGAGTGAGAGTAGGAATGGGGAAGAAAAAAAAAAAGACTAATGGGCTATACCTATTATTTCTTTCTTTCTCTTGGAATGGTGATTATGTCCCACAAAACTGTGTTCAATTCACACTAATGGATCACAACCCACAGTCTGGAAAACTACCATTCTAAATAAAGTAAGCACTACAAATTCAACCATCTAGATGGGACAGGTATATAAGTCAAGACAGGCACACATTTCAAAGAAATTATGGGCTGGAGGCATGGTTCAAGCAGTAGAGTGCCTGCCTAGCAAGTGCAAAGTCCTGAGTTCAAACCCCAATACCACAAAAAAAAAGAAAAAAAAATTTAAATATACTATAGATGTTACTTTACTTTCTACCTGTTTCTGAAACATTATATTTGTGTACGCATCCTCAGTACTACAAAATAAATAAATAAAAGAAATTACATAATGGCAATTGACATTCAGCTTCCAGTTTGGGAGATGACTTCTTTATGACTAGTTGATCAGAAATAACAGAATGTTACTGAATGAAGAAAACTTTAAAAAGAAAAAGGAAATAACAGAATGTGTTGGAGATTACTACAAACTGGAGAACACATGCCCCCAAATCAACTCAGACCAAATACGGCTAGGGAAAAACAGATCCATCTTTAACAGCATTTCCACATTTTTAACAGAAGCCAACAATCTAGAATTTTAGGTTATTATCTTGAATTTTAGACATTAGCAACCAACTCTTCAAAAATTTAAAAGCCCTGTGTAATCCAAATAAATTAATGAGATGGATTTGACCCAAAGGCCACAAATTCAAAAGTTAAAAGCCTGGGAACCCCTCTAGCGCTCAAGTTCTCTACAGATAACAGTGACCCCAACCTAGCAACTTCCTCAGGCCTACAACTCACCAGTAATGACTTCAGTAAGGTCCATATCACGGGCCTTTCGGAGTAATCGCACAAGGGCAGGAACACCATCACAGTTTTTTATAGCAATCTTGTTATCTTGGTCACGTCCAAAAGAGATATTCTTGAGAGCTCCACAGGCTCCAAGGTGTACTTCCTTTTTGGGGTGGTCTAACAATCCCACCAGTACTGGGATGCCTTTGAGCTTCCGAACATCAGTCTTCACTTTGTCATTGCGATAGCACAAGTGTTGCAGGTAGGCAGCTGCATTGGACTTGACAGCATCCAAGCGGAATCCTAGCATGGCGATCACCTCTGGAAGCTCAGGCTGTCTCCAATTAGGAGGTGGCGCCCCTCCCTTGCGCAGGCTATCCAAGCTTGCTAAACTTCCCCGCTCATGCTGGGCCAAAGGAGCCCAATAGTACTGATCTGATGGCACCTCCTCACCAATCATGTCTTCATAGCTCCTGCAAAGTTTTGGAAAACCCAAGAATCAAGCAGTTAAGACTAGCTTCTTAGACACTTATTTTCAAAGCAGGATTAACTTCAGCTCTACACACAGCTATCTGTCCTTTGTATGACTGACATACTGGTCAATTGTAATAATCTTCCCCTTCCTCCCCCCAATTTCAGTAATTTTAAAGGTATCTGCGATTAGATTAAAACTACCTTTCTTTTCCCTGTGAGGTTTGCTGGCTCAGAAAGTATCAGGCATCCAGAGAAGTTAATCACAAAGGACCAAATTCTGATTCCTTAGCATTTATCTGAATGACACCTGACAACTACTAACTTCTCTAGACAGAGAGTAAAATAAACCCTCAAACAACAGAGTTAACCAAGGCAACTGACTCAATGTCACAGAAGTCAGAAAGAAAGCCTGAGAACCATTCTTATAACCCCTTAGCTAAACAGGAAATGAGGCATTTACACACAGGAAACCTTAAACACACTTCATACTTAAACTTCTCCATACCCTATTTTGGACTACAAAAGAGAAGCTGAGCTGGGCAGCGCATGCCTATAATCCTACCACTTGGGAGGCTGAGGCATGAGGATCACAAGGTCAAGGCCAGATGGGCTACATAGCAAGACCCTGTCTCAAAAATACAAAAACCCAAGCTGGTGTAGTGGCTCAAGCCTGTAATCCTAGCTGCTTGAGAGGCAGGGATTAGGGATCACAGTTCGAGGTCAGTCCATGCAAAAAGTTAGCAAGACCCCATTTCAACAAACAATCTGGATGTGGAGGGGTGCACCTATGATTCCAGCTATGTGGGAGGCCAAAGGCAGAAGGGAAAACCGTCTGAGGCTGTCCAGGGCAAAAAAACCACAAGATCCTACCTGAAAAATAACTAAAGCAAAAAATGGCTGAGGGCATGGTTCAAGGGATAGAATACATGCATAGCAAGCCTGAAGCTCTGAGTTCAAACCCTAGTATAACCAACAACCTTCCCTAGAAAAGGTCCTTTCCTATTTTTCCTCATCAGCCAACCCCCTACCTTGTTTTTTGTTTTGTTTTGTTTTAGTTTTTTTTTTTTTTTGTAGTGCTGGGATTGAATTCAGGGCTCATGCTTGGTAGGCAGGCATTCTATTGCTTGAACTACTCCGCCAGCCCTTTTTGGGTTGTTTATTTTTTAGATATGATATGGATTTATGCCCAAGCCTGACTGGATTCTGATCCTCCTATTTGTGCTTCTCCACGTTTTCTAAGATGACAGACACACACCACCATGCCCAGTCATTGGTTGAGATGGGGTCTCATGAACTTTTTGCCTGGGCTAGGGTAGAGCCATAACCCTCCTGCTTGTTATAAGCTGGTGTTCTACCACTTGAGCCATGGCTCCAGCCCAGGTAAGGACTTCTAGCTCCACCATATTGAGGACCCAGCTTTGGTACTAATGTGTTGTGTGTATATAATGTGTGTGTATATATATATGTACCTGAACATTAATTCCCACAGTTCATTCTAAGGTCATATCTAAACTCAACAAGTATATTTGAGAATGAGTTCCATCCTCCAATATCTAAAATCTCTAATTCAGCAGGACATCAGTGGCTCATGCCTGTAATCCTAGCTACTCAGGAGGCAAAGATTAGAAGGATCAAGGTTCAAAAGTCAGCCAGGGCAAACAGTTCTTGAGACCCTATCTTGAAAATACCCAATACAAAAAAAGGATAGCAGAATGGCTCAAGTGGTAGAGTGCTTGCCTAGCAAGCATGAGGCCCTGAGTTCAAGCCCCAGTACCACAAATAAATAAATATCTCCAATACTGACCAACATTGTATTTTGGGTGCCTGGTCACTTAGAACAGAGATAAAGCAATTGAAGGAGGTCAAATGAAGAGAATATTTTCCTGTTTCAGTACTACCAACAACCACTAGAGGGTGAGTCTATCACAGTATTATTTATTCATAACCACCAGGAAGGAAGAGACCCATTAACTGTGAGCTCATCTCACTCTGTGGCTTCCACAGGAGAGGAGAATCTATTGTGGAACTCTCCAAATAAGACCTTTGTTTGTTCCATAAAACCACTCCCACTGTCATCAAACACTCAAGGTTAGCCTAAGCAGAGCAGAAGGCCTGCTTCACAGGTATTAACATGGACCAATAATTTAGCTTAAAAGAAGGACAAATAATTTAGCTTAAAAAAAAAAAAAAAGAAATCACAAAGCTTATTTTAAAATATTACTGAAACAAAATGAACAAGTTATAAAGCTAAGTTTTAAAGTCAGGCTACTACTAATATAAAAAAGGTTTTATTTTAGTGGGGAGAAAATAAGGACATGTTTATATATATGTATATATGTGTGTGTGTGTGTGTGTGTGTGTGTGTGTGTATATATATATATATATATATATATATATATATACCAAAATGTTAACAGTGGTTCTTTATGAATAGATGGTGTGCTTTTTTAGATGTTTCAATCTCTATATTGAACGTATTTCACTTGTTATTTTAAGAAAAGCAAATACAAAAATAATTACCCAGATTTCAGTCATTCAGGGAAATCTACCTTGTGTTTCCTTCTTTTATAGGCAAAGGATCAAGAGTCCTCCATTTTACAAACAATAAACCTATGCCCAGATTGATCAAATGCCTTACTTGAGGCTCCACAGCTAATGGCAAAGGAGCAACTAGAAACCAAGGTTTTCAAGTTCAGTGCTTTGTCCACTAACCATAGCTTTACTGTTTCAAGTTTGACCTTGTATTACTCTCCTAGGCCCAGAACAGGAAGCAGAAAATGATCTTGCTAGTCGAGCAGGTTTCTAAGTCCAGTGCCACCCTGGAACAAACCCAAGAACCAGGCCCCAAACCCTCACTATGTCAACCGTGACAGCGAGGGACAGCAGAAAATGGCCCCGCCATCCACACCCACCTGGGTCCAATCACTCTTTACTCATGAGGAAGTTAGAAAAGGCAGACTTGCAAAGTACCCACACCCTGGACACTGCTTCAGTGATAGCTGTTATCTACCACTGCTCTAGGCTATACCAGCTGAGGTCTGGTGCCCCTCTAGGAATAAAAAAGTGAGTCACATGGAAGTTGGATTAGCCAACCAAGACATCTGAAAGATGAGTGACTCAGGCTTAGATAATGGGGCCTTTACTCCTGTCCCCAGCCCAGTTCAGCTTACTGAACAGCCAACACTACCTAATACATAAGGAAAAGAAGTGCCAAGACATTTGCTTTAGAAGGTCATGAACTCACATAGGGAAATTTAGCAACAGCTGTCAGGGTACCCTCACCATTAAGCCAACCATAAATCTTCTCTTATTTCTTAGTATTTTTCTTTGCCTAGAGAAAACAGACCCTGATTTATGCTAAAACAGGGTTTGCAGACCATGGGCCAAACCTATTTTTGTATAGCCCCAGAACTAAGTACATTTTCACATTTCTAAAAGGTTGCTTTAAAAAGCCAAAGAACAGGGCCAGGGACCAATGGCTACTTGGGAAGTTGAGATCGGGAGGATCACAGTTCGAGGCCAGCCTGGGCAAATAGTTTGTGAGACTCCATCTCCAAAATAACCAAAGCAAAATGGACTGGGTGTGGCTCAAGCAGTAGAGTGCCTCTTTGCAAAATACCATGTCCTCTGATCAAGCCCCAGTGACACCAAAAAAAACATGACAAAGATAATATATGGCTAACAAGGCCTAAACTAGGTCCTTTGGAAAATGTCTGCCAAGCCCATTCTAAAGCATTCTCTTAAGACATTAAGGCAAACCACCCACTAGTCCAAACATCAATCACTTCATTTTCACATCATCAAAGAATCCCCAAGGATAAGTAAAGTCAGAGTAAGCAGCTGCTTAGTGACCTTTGGAAATATTGTTTATATATGCCCCCAAGGAGTCACCCCCATTTCCTTTATAAACAAATTTAAGACCCTAAACACAAAGTGTCAGGAGGTTTTTTTTGTTGTTTTTTTTGGCTGTGTTGGGGTTTGAACTCAGGGCTTCAAGCTTGCTAGGTAGCTGCTTTACCACTTGAACCATGACTCCAGCCATCAAGGGTTTTTTTTAAACATTGGAATTAAAACCACCACAGAGTGTTCTTAAATATACCCTTAATTGTCTCTTCTGGTTCTGAAAACCCCTAAACACTTTTTTTTTTTGGCGCAGTACTGGGATTTGAACTCAGGGCCTCACACTTGGTGGGCAGGCACTCTATCACTTGAGCCACTCCACCAGTCCTGTTTTGTGTTGGGTATTTTTGAAATAAGGTCTTGAGAACTATTTGCCCAGGACTGGCTTTGAATCTCAATCCTCCTGATCTCTGCCTCCTGAGTAGCTAGGATTACAGGCGTAAGCCACCAGCACCCAGCTCAACATTGTTCTTTACACAAACCAGAAGCTGAAGATATTCCCAGGAAAAATGAGTGTCAGTGGCCCCAGGTGTCAGGGTCCCTGTGGTGGTCTCTCCTTCACCAAAAGGAGGTCAGATCTTAGAAACTATGGCATAGAAGCAAAGTCCATTCTTTAGGACCCAGACCAATAACCATCACAAGTCACTTTCTATAATTTATATATGATTTTCATAATTAAAACAAGACAAGCTGGGCCCCAGTAGTTCATACCTATAATCCTATATACTGGGGAAGCAGAGAGCAAAAGGATCATTATTTGAAGCCAGCCTGGGCAAAGAGTTCTCGAGATCCTATCTTGAAAATATCCAACATAAAAAAGGAGCAGCGGAGTTTTAAAGCACCTGCCTAGCAAGTGTGAGGCCAAGCTCAAACCCCAGAACTGCCAAAAACAAACAAAAAAGACAATTTAGCAAGTCAATACTAAGCAAAGCCAGAAAAGGAAAGAACAGGATGTCTTTCCATAAAGTAGGGGGGGAAAAAAAAGCAGTAGGGTAGAAGCCCCTATCTTAGAAAAGCCCTTTCCTTCCCCTATTCTTGCCTACCTGAGACGTCGGCGAGGGTCAGAGGGTGTCCCAGTCCGACGGGCAGTGCCATAATCTGACATCATGCCATAATCCAGGTCATCATAGCCCATGCTACGCTGGTCATCCTCTAGCCCATAAGGCTCTGGATGAAAGCGATGCAGATCCACGCTGCTCCCACCTACCCGAACCTGTGGCTGGGGACCATAGACATCCTGTCTACTAGGCGCCCGGTAGCCTTCCATGCTGGGCCTATACCGCTCCTCAATACGGGTCACCCGGGACAGACTGCCATAGTTGTCACTGCCACCTGGATAACCATCTTCATAGTGGCGGCTATATCCATCAGGAGGGTAGTGGAAGTTCCTAGGAAGAGTAGCAGTGCCTGCTTGCCCTACATAGGGACCAGGTCCCCCATTGCCATTTTTTCGGAAGTCACGACCCAAAGTCTGGATATAGTTGTTGGAAACTGATGAGGCATCCACAGGCAGCCCATCTGGTCCCATAGGGACTGGCTGTACTGTACGTGTTGTCACAGTCTTCACTACTTTCTTGACCTTCAATTAAGGAATAAGAAAAAGAAAAACTTATTGAAGGAAGTGAGCAATATAAGCTTAAATTCCAGACCACTCTTAAGAAAAGAAAGAAACCCCTACCTCTAGGTCACATTACCTAAAAATGTCTTATGACCTACCATCTCTCTTTCTTTCTGTCCCACAGAAGTCCCTGAGCAAGAAAACTGCTCAGGCAATAACTGCTACTCTACAGGAAGTTACTACAGATGTTAATATACCCTCTTCCTTCTATTCCATTGTATTTTCCCATATTTCTTTCATCTTTTTTGTTTAGCCAGAGATTACTTTTTTTTTTTTGCAGTACTAGGACTTGAACTCAGGACCTTCACCTTGAGCCACTCTACCAGCCCTACTTTTGTGAAGGGGTCTTCGAGAAAGGGTCTCACAAACTATTTACCAGGCTGGCTTCGAAGCGTGATCCTCCTGAGTAGTTAGGGTTACAAGCATGAGCCACCAGCACCCAGCTGAGGTTACTTTCTTTATGGTATCAATTCAGATCAGTGGTTCCTCACCTACCTAATTAAGTGCTCAATACCTCCCCTCAATAGAAACCGAAGGAAGACCTCTTCTATTACTCCAAGACCTTACACAAATCTCAGCTTACTGTGGTCTCTGTGCGCCGAGTGGTTCCATCATCTGAGGTCTCAACAGAAACAACAGACATTGCTCCCTCAGGGTCCTCCGTGTAGGTCTCCACAATCTGTCCTGGCTCCTGCATCCTGGGGATGGTGCTATACAGAAGATGACTGTGATCCTATAAGAGAAAAGAGAACAAAGGTACTATTAAGACACATGTATTAACGATCCATTCCAGTAAGAAGCACTGTGCAGCTGAGACAGGGACTCTTCACACATCTTGTACAGACCTCGGGATTTTGAGACAGGTATGTTTTGAACTTGTACAAAAGGACAGTAAGTGTAATTTCCAAGTTCTAGTTATTAAATGAACACAAAACAAGTTATCTATAGCCACACTGACATCCAAGTGACAGACAGCAGATTTAACTTCCCAGTTCTGGTCATATAAGTGAATATGAACTATGTTAATCTGTTGTATCTATTTCTGAGTGACCCTTCAAAAGAGCAGCTTACCCAGCAAAGATATTTTAAGACACACCAGAAGATCCTCAAAAGAGTCATTTTTCTGACTGACTCTATGTTACTCTTCAGATACTGTCCAAATTTTGGGTGGAGATTTCTACAAAGTAGAACCAGACCCTCCCCCAAAAAAGGAATGCAGTATCTGAGGATCAAAGAAGAAGAAAGGAAGACAGTGACAAAGACCAATGGTCAGGGCTGATGGAGGGGCTCAAGTGGTAAAGTGCCTGCCTAGCAAGCATGAGGTCCTAAGTTCAAACCCCAGAACCACAAAAAAAGAAAAATAAAAAAGAAAGAAAGAAAAATCAATGGTCATTAAAACTTATTTCAAAACAAAATTGTGTATGTATTTTGGAGCTGTACCTTTTTATTTTCCTAAATGAAAGAAAGTAATTAATAGGTGCTTATGTGCCAAGCACATTACAGGACAGGATTATGCTCCTAAAGCCTGGGAAAGTAAAAAGATATGAATGAAACAAACCAGACTTGTGTCAAAAGAATTACCTGGGGTCCGTTGAGTTTCAAATCTGAAAATTTCTGTCTCTCAAGGTCAGCATCGCCCACAAACCGGCCGTTCTGAAACACAGTCCACAAGAAAATAATTCATTTTGTGGCCTTCCTTTGCTCTATCAAACAAAAAGATCATTTTTTTCAAAAAGGAAAAGGGTTTTCAGGAAGATATATGTGGCCTGAAGTCCATGTGTCAGTACTCATAAAACCACATCATCACTCCTTAGACTTAGTTAACACTTTGCTCAAAATTGAAATCAGCCCTGGAATTCTGATAGATTATATCTCTGGAACATAAGAATGTAGGCTCCATAAGGACACAGGGGTGTCTTTGGTCAGTAGTTTTGTCTAAGGATGTCTCTCTAGTGTCGAGTAGTCCCTGGAACAAAACAGGTGCTTCAAAAAACTTTGCTGAATAAAATAGGAGACTCAGATAAGTTCATCTACATGTAACCTTTTTGGAAAGCTCAAATGATATAAATAAAGTTGGAAAGACTAAGTTGGGGGATTTCCAAAAGCTTTCTTTATTGTTCCATGACTCTTCATACTCTATCACTGGAAACTCCCATTCCACAAAAATTTATAAAGAAAGAAGCAAGAGATACAAGTCTTCTTTTCTAAGGATGAAAAAAACAGGTATCCTAACTCCCCTCAAGAAAAGTCTTAACATCTTCATCAAATTACAGCGACAGAACACATTCTAAAATGTCACTCATAAATCATTCTGTCTTAAGCAGCAACAATTACTCTAATGACATTATACCATATAAAAATACATTTCTTTGTTTCTCTTCCAATAGAACGCAGAGAGCTCCAACCACCTTGAGAGACTCTCCCTCCATCCCATTCCCCTTTACATAAAGAATGTAATGCTGTAGGGAAAGGAAGTTAAACATCACTTTTAGGAAGAAGGAAGGGTGTGGTTTCATTCCTAAGCAGAAGTTAAAAATAAGAATAAGAGAAAGAAACCATGTACTAAATCCCGGAATTCCCCACCACCTCTAAACTTGCTCTCCTTTCAACATATATCTCATTCCTAACCCTCTAGTTCCTATAAAAATCATAGGAAAACTGGACCTGTAATCCCAGCACTTGGAATACTGAAGCAGGAGGACTGAGAGATCCAGGCCAGCCTGTATTACATGGTGATACCCTGACTCAAAAAAACAAAAACAAGAGTGCCTCGAGTGGTAAAG